CCACCATTGGCTCACCCACCTACAAACTGGCCCAGCCATTCACTGGTAAGACCACTTCGTCTGTACTTAACTCAGCTCACTTGGTATCGTTTATTAAGGACATCTCACTGTCCCCAGGTGATTTGCTCGTTAGTTTCCGATGTAGTTTCTCTGTTCACCAAAGTTCCTGTGCCCGACACCATTGCAATCATTGAAGATTTGGTCCAACAAGGATTGAATGCTGATGTACCCGGCCCTGGCGAGACACGGCCTCCCAATATTTTTAAGTGAGGGAAAAAAGTATTTGATCCCCTGCGGATTTTGTACGTTTGCCCACTGGCAAATAAATGATCAGTCTATAATTTTAATGGTAGGTTTATTTGAACAGTGAGAGACAGAATAACAACAACAAAATCCAGAAAAACGCATTATAAATTGATTTGCATTTTAATGAGGGAAATAAGTATTTGACCCCTCTGCAAAACATGACTTTGTACTTGGTGGCAAAACCCTTGTTGGCAATCACAGAGGTCAGACGCTTATTGTAGTTAGCCACCAGGTTTACACACATCTCAAATACTTTTTTCCCTCACTGTACTTCACCTGGGATGGAATATTCTACAAACAAGTTGAAGGCACCCCAATGGGTTCTCCCTTATCTCCGGTTGTAGCCAATGTTTTCATGGAAAAATTTGAGACGGACGCCATCCAGGCATTCACTCTACGTTCCGTCCTTGTGGGAGAGGTACGTGGATGACACATTCGTCATCTGGCCAAATGGCCGACCAGCTCTGAACCAATTCCTCAACCACATCAATTCCATACACCCAGTCATCAAATTCACCATGGAGGTGGAAAAGGATGGCAAGCTACCTTTCTTGGATGTGCTAATCGAAAAGAGACCAGATGGCTCAATGGGCCACTCTGTCTACAGGAAAGCCACCCATACTGATGCCTAACTAAAACCTGACTCCTATCACCATCCATCCCAGAAGAATTCCCGCATCAAAACTTTACACCACAGAGCTCGTTGTATTTCCGACAAATCATCCACCTAGCTCAGTGAACTGAAATACGTGCACCAAGCTCTCAAGGCGAATTGAAATTCGGACTATGCAATCCGTAAAGCTATCACCCCAAACCGTTGGGAAAGAGCCATCTGAGGACCCAATCAAAACCATTTACCTTGCCATACATAGCAGGGGTCACCAAAAAGATTTCCAAAATCATGAGCAAACACAAAATCTAGGTTCGATTTAACACAGTGCATACAATTCGTGATCTGATCCAATCTGTGAGGGATAAGATCCCTGACATGCAATACCCCGGTGTCTACAAACTAAGCTGTGTATGCAGCAGTAGTTACATTGGGGAAACTAAGCGACATGTCTCGGACCATGTTCGTGAACATGAGGCAGATCTGAAACACGGTAGGACCAATACTTCTGCCAGTGGCTGATCATTGTCTGAATGCGGTTGGCTCGCACGAAATGTATTTCTCTAAGACGAAGCTACTTTGCAAGCCCACTGGCTATCAACAAAGATTCGTTCATGAAGCCATCCAGATATACAGACACAGACACAATTTCAACCGAGAGGATGGCTACAAACTCAGCAATCATTGGAAGGACGTCATCAACCAGTTTAAGTCATAACTGGCTGTGATGTTTCCATCTTGTCACCTTCCGATGTTAGTTTTATTTTACCAAAGATGGGATCAGCGATTCCAGTTCCTGCAGTGTCGCCCCTGCATTGGGCGGACTACAAGTTGCTAATTTATCCACGTCTCATGCGGCTCCCCTTCTGATTTCACATTAACATAACCATCTCCGCTTGTGCTGGCCCCAAGTCTATGGGTCCAGTGTTAAACTATGGGTACAGTGTTAGTCTATGGGATCAGTGTTAGTCTATGGGTCCAGTGTTAGTCTATGGGTTCAGTGTGAGTCTATGGGTTACCGTTAGTCTTTGGGTCAGTGGTAGTTTATGGGCCAGTGTTAGCCTATGGGTTCAGTGTGAGTCTATGGGTTACCGTTAGTCTATGGGTCAGTGTTAGTCTATGGGTCCAATGCCCCCTAATACCAATACCAATGCAACCGCCATTCACCACAAAGTGACGGTGACGTCACCACAGTGCCTGTGCCAGGCTAGGTGCATGCTGAGACTACCACGTGAAGTGTGGAAGGTGTCGAAGGCTCGCTCAAAGACCCAGCAGGTGCCATGGGTTGGCACCCAGGTGCCACACGACAAAGATCCCCCGTATAGCCTGACCAGACTCTCAAGGCAAGTGCTGTTAGTGAGCAGCACCTATAAAGACAAAGATCCCCCGTATAGCCTTAACAGACTGTGGGGGCAAGCGCTGTTAGTGAGCACCTACAAAGGCCGGCACTGAGTACTCATTTGAGGCCGAGTCGACCTAGGGGAGGCACCAGGACCGGTTCAGATAATCGTCACAGGTGTTGGCCATGAGCGGGAATCAAACCCGGGCGGCCAGGTTCATAGCGCAGCGTAGCGCTAACCGCTACACTACCGCTCCCCACCTATAAACACAAACACACTCGCCACAGACACACACACACGGGACAGAGTTGGAGGGCACGTGCTCGTTCAATATAATTTGTTTATTTTCATTCTGATGGGGCCACTGCCGTCACATTGCGGTGGTCGACAGCCAATGGGCTCACAATTCGCAAACAGACGACACTGTCACTTTTGACACGTAGATAGGCGGCTTTAAGCGGCCAAAATCATCTATAATAGAGGGGTGTTTTTTTGGGGTTAAGATCGCGTAAATATATAAATGTGCCGTTAAACCCGCGAGCACGCGACACAGCCAATTTCATTAAGGGTTGTGTCACGTAATTAGGACGTGGCCAATTCGTGACTAGTACAGCAACTGCACCAGTTGTGCGTTGGAGAGCCAAGCCACAACGTTTACAATCCGAGCGCTGTGACGTTTCGCAAATCTGGCTGTTGCCTGATGAAGCTCGCTGCAATTAGCGGCTCTCCGGGTTCAGTCGGGGTAGAGTAACAATGGGCAGCTGCCGGTTCAGCTTCGAGACATCCGTTCATTCGTAGCGAGTGGACTCACTCCTCATGGATTGTCCTCTCTTTATAGAATAAAATAAAATAAAAATTGCAGCCAAGTTCAGACTGCCCAATAATGGCGGAGAAGGTCAATCGCCGCTCGTGATTTTTTTGACCGAGGGGCTAATTCGGAGGGGTTCAAGGAGGGGGGTTCAGAGGGGGGAGGGAGGGGGGGTCAGGGTCTTAGGGGCCTTACTAAAGAGTCCAAACGATTCATGCGTAGGGGATACAAAATATATTAAAATATATCTATTACAAAAAAAACACATCTTATACATCTTGTGTAAATGCGAGGACGTCGACATATATGCAATGACAATAGAGCCTGCATGCGGTGTGAGTGGACTAATGGCCACGGGAGGTAATGACAGGGGAGTCAGTTGTGAGTATGAAGGGACTGGTGGCTACGGGAGGTAATGAGAGGGGAGTCAGTTGTGAGCGCAAAGGGACTGGTGGCCACGGGAGGTAATGACAGGGGAGTCAGTTGTGAGTATGAAGGGACTGGTGGCTACGGGAGGTAATGACAGGGGAGTCAGTTGTGAGCGTGAAGGGACTGGTGGCTACGGGAGGTAATGACAGGGAGTCAGTTGTGAGTGTGAGTGGACTAGTGGCCATGGGAGGTAATGACAGGGGAGTCAGTTGTGAACGCGAAGGGACTGGTGGCCATGGGAGGTAATGACAGGGGAGTCAGTTGTGAGTATGAAGGGACTGGTGGCTATGGGAGTTAATGAGAGGGGAGTCAGCTGTGAGTGTGAAGGGACTGGTGGCCACGGGAGGTAATGACAGGGGAGTCAGTTGTGAGCGTGAAGGGACGAGTGGCCATGGGAGGTAATGACAGGGGAGTTAGTTGTGAGTATGAAGGGACTGGTGGCTACGGGAGGTAATGACAGGGGAGTCAGCTGTGAGTGCGACGGGACTGGTGGCCACGGGAGGTAATGACAGGGGAGTCAGCTGTGAGCGCGAAGGGACTGGTGGCTACGGGAGGTAATGACAGGGGAGTCAGCTGTGAGCGCGAAGGGACTGGTGGCTACGGGAGATAATGACAGGGGAGTCAGCTGTGAGCGCGAAGGGACTGGTGGCTACGGGAATGTTCGAGGAGGGAGCGTGGTCAGGCGAAAGAAGAGGGCGGTAGAGCGTGCCGGTAGGGCGAGCGTCCAGAGTCAGCGAGAGTGATCGAGAAGGGGGGGGGGGGGACGTGACCTCGTGTTGGTACATAAGGGGGATATGCGCGGGAGACTCAGGGCTGTCGCGGTGGGGATCTCCGCCTTATGTCAAGTGAACGCATCTTCAACAAAGTTCGATCTCAAGAGAAGTGTGTCAAGACGTCATTACATTGTTATACAGGGTGGCCCAAAAGTCAGGACACATAGGGGTTGTTATGATACAGGGTGGCCCACAAGTCAGGACACACAGGGGTTGTTGTTGTTATCATACAGGGTGGCCCACAAGTCAAGACACATAGGGGTTGTTGTTGTTGTTATACAGGGTGGCCCAAAAGGAGGAGGAGGAGGCTGTCCGCTGTCGACCTGCGATGCGTCAAATCTCGAACTACGCTGGGCAGAAATGTATTCGAATATAGATGAGGACGGTGATAATAAAAACGACGATAATAATAACAACGATAATAATGATGTAATAAGGATGATAATAATAACAACGATAATAATTATGTAATAAGGATGATAATAATAACAACGATAATAACAACGATAATAATGATGTCAAAACGACGATAATAATAACAACGATAATAATGATGTAATAACGACGATAATAATAATAACGGCGGTGGTGGTGGTGGCGGTGGTGTTAGCGCTAGGTGGTGGTGGTGGTGGTGGCGGTGATGGTGGTGTTAGTGGTGGTGGTGGTGGCGATCGGTGGTGGTGATGCTAGGCTCAGGTGGCGGTGGTGTTAGCGCTAGGTGGTGGTGGTGGTGGTGGCGGTGATGGTGGCGGTGATGGTGGCGTTAGTGGTGGTGGTGGCGATTGGTGGTGGTGGTGGTGCTAGGCCCAGGTGGCGGTGGTGGCGCTAGACGTTGCCGACGCCGACCAGCAGGGCGATGAGGAAGGCTACGTTGCCAGCGACGTAGACGCCAAGAACGGCCGACTTCACGTTGTGCAGCTGGGACGCGCACAACAGCAACAACAACAACAACGTCAACAACAATGTCAACAACAACGTCAACAACAACGTCAACAACAACGTCAACAACAACATGATTGCTGCGTCGTGCCTGCTGGTTGTGGTTGTGCCTGGTGGTTGTGGTGGTGGTGATTGTGGTGGTGGTGATTGTGGTGGTGGTTGTGGTTGTTTTTGGTGGTGGTGGTGGTGGTTGTGGTTGTTTTTGGTGGTGGTGGTTGTGGTGGTGGTGGTTGTGGTGGTGGTGGTTGTGGTGGTGGTTGTGGTGGTTGTGGTGGTGGTGGTGGTGATTGTGGTGGTTGTGGTTGTTTTTGGTGGTGATTGTGGTGGTGGTGGTGGTGATTGTGGTGGTGGTTGTGGTTGTTTTTGGTGGTGATTGTGGTGGTGGTGGTGGTGGTGTTGGTGGTGGTGGTGATTGTGGTGGTGGTTGTGGTTGTTTTTGGTGGTGATTGTGGTGGTGGTGGTGATTGTGGTGGTGGTTGTGGTGATTGTGGTGGTGGTTGTGGTGGTTGTGGTGGTGGTGGTGGTTGTGGTGGTGGTGGTTGTGGTTGTTTTTGGTGGTTGTGGTGGTGGTTGTGGTGGTTGTGGTGGTGGTGGTTGTTTTTGGTGGTGGTGGTTGTGGTGGTGGTGGTGGTGGTTGTGGTGGTGGTGGTTGTGGTACCTTGCTGTTGTGGTTGTGCTGGAGTTTCCCTTCCCGGAGTCCCTGCACCACATGGCTCATCTCAAAGCTCTCCCCGGACTCTGCAGCAACAACGCAAGGGGGGCACCCGCTCACACAAGTTGCTCACACAAGTCGCTCACACAAGTTGCTCACACAAGTTGCTCACACAAGTTGCTCACACAAGTTGCTCACACAAGTTGCTCACACAAGTTGCTCACACAAGTTGCTCACACAAGTCGCTCACACAAGTTGCTCACACAAGTTGCTCACACAAGTTGCTCACACAAGTTGCTCAACACAAGTTGCTCACACAAGTTGCTCACACAAGTTGCTCACACAAGTTGCTCACACAAGTTGCTCACACAGGTTGCTCACACAAGTCGCTCACACAAGTCGCTCACACAAGTCGCTCACACAAGTTGCTCACACAAGTTGCTCACACAAGTTGCTCACACAAGTTGCTCACACAAGTTGCTCACACAAGTTGCTCACACAAGTTGCTCACACAAGTTGCTCACACAAGTTGCTCACACAAGTTGCTCACACAAGTTGCTCAGCAAGTTGCTCACACAAGTTGCTCACACAAGTTGCTCACACAAGTTGCTCACACAAGTTGCTCACACAAGTTGCTCAGCAAGTTGCTCACACAAGTTGCTCAGCAAGTTGCTCACACAAGTTGCTCACACAAGTTGCTCACACAAGTTGCTCAGCAAGTTGCTCACACAAGTTGCTCAGCAAGTTGCTCACACAAGTTGCTCAGCAAGTTGCTCACACAAGTTGCTCACACAAGTTGCTCACACAAGTTGCTCACACAAGTTGCTCAGCAAGTTGCTCACACAAGTTGCTCACACAAGTTGCTCAGCAAGTTGCTCAGCAAGTTGCTCACACAAGTTGCTCACACAAGTTGCTCACACAAGTTGCTCACACAAGTTGCTCACACAAGTTGCTCACACAAGTTGCTCACACAAGTTGCTCACACAAGTTGCTCACACAAGTTGCTCACACAAGTTGCTCAACACAAGTTGCTCACACAAGTTGCTCACACAAGTTGCTCACACAAGTTGCTCACACAAGTTGCTCACACAAGTTGCTCACACAAGTCGCTCACACAAGTCGCTCACACAAGTCGCTCACACAAGTCGCTCACACAAGTTGCTCACACAAGTTGCTCACACAAGTTGCTCACACAAGTTGCTCACACAAGTTGCTCACACAAGTTGCTCACACAAGTTGCTCACACAAGTTGCTCACACAAGTGCTCACACAAGTTGCTCAGCAAGTTGCTCACACAAGTTGCTCACACAAGTTGCTCACACAAGTTGCTCACACAAGTTGCTCACACAAGTTGCTCAGCAAGTTGCTCACACAAGTTGCTCAGCAAGTTGCTCACACAAGTTGCTCACACAAGTTGCTCACACAAGTTGCTCAGCAAGTTGCTCACACAAGTTGCTCAGCAAGTTGCTCACACAAGTTGCTCAGCAAGTTGCTCACACAAGTTGCTCACACAAGTTGCTCACACAAGTTGCTCACACAAGTTGCTCAGCAAGTTGCTCACACAAGTTGCTCACACAAGTTGCTCACACAAGTTGCTCACACAAGTTGCTCACACAAGTTGCTCACACAAGTTGCTCACACAAGTTGCTCACACAAGTTGCTCACACAAGTTGCTCACACAAGTTGCTCACACAAGTTGCTCACACAAGTTGCTCACACAAGTTGCTCACACAAGTTGCTCAACACAAGTTGCTCACACAAGTTGCTCACACAAGTTGCTCACACAAGTTGCTCACACAAGTTGCTCACACAAGTCGCTCACACAAGTCGCTCACACAAGTCGCTCACACAAGTCGCTCACACAAGTTGCTCACACAAGTTGCTCACACAAGTTGCTCACACAAGTTGCTCACACAAGTTGCTCACACAAGTTGCTCACACAAGTTGCTCACACAAGTTGCTCACACAAGTTGCTCACACAAGTTGCTCACACAAGTTGCTCAGCAAGTTGCTCACACAAGTTGCTCACACAAGTTGCTCACACAAGTTGCTCACACAAGTTGCTCACACAAGTTGCTCAGCAAGTTGCTCACACAAGTTGCTCAGCAAGTTGCTCACACAAGTTGCTCACACAAGTTGCTCACACAAGTTGCTCAGCAAGTTTGCTCACACAAGTTGCTCAGCAAGTTGCTCACACAAGTTGCTCAGCAAGTTGCTCACACAAGTTGCTCACACAAGTTGCTCACACAAGTTGCTCACACAAGTTGCTCAGCAAGTTGCTCACACAAGTTGCTCACACAAGTTGCTCAGCAAGTTGCTCAGCACAAGTTGCTCACACAAGTTGCTCACACAAGTTGCTCACACAAGTTGCTCACACAAGTTGCTCACACAAGTTGCTCACACAAGTTGCTCACACAAGTTGCTCACACAAGTTGCTCACACAAGTTGCTCACACAAGTTGCTCACACAAGTTGCTCACACAAGTTGCTCACACAAGTTGCTCACACAAGTTGCTCACACAAGTTGCTCACACAAGTTGCTCACACAAGTCGCTCACACAAGTCGCTCACACAAGTCGCTCACACAAGTTCGCTCACACAAGTTGCTCACACAAGTTGCTCACACAAGTTGCTCACACAAGTTGCTCACACAAGTTGCTCACACAAGTTGCTCACACAAGTTGCTCACACAAGTTGCTCACACAAGTTGCTCACACAAGTTGCTCAGCAAGTTGCTCACACAAGTTGCTCACACAAGTTGCTCACACAAGTTGCTCACACAAGTTGCTCACACAAGTTGCTCAGCAAGTTGCTCACACAAGTTGCTCAGCAAGTTGCTCACACAAGTTGCTCACACAAGTTGCTCACACAAGTTGCTCAGCAAGTTGCTCACACAAGTTGCTCAGCAAGTTGCTCACACAAGTTGCTCAGCAAGTTGCTCACACAAGTTGCTCACACAAGTTGCTCACACAAGTTGCTCACACAAGTTGCTCAGCAAGTTGCTCACACAAGTTGCTCACACAAGTTGCTCAGCAAGTTGCTCACACAAGTTGCTCACACAAGTTGCTCACACAAGTTGCTCACACAAGTTGCTCACACAAGTTGCTCACACAAGTTGCTCACACAAGTTGCTCACACAAGTTGCTCACACAAGTTGCTCACACAAGTTGCTCACACAAGTTGCTCACACAAGTTGCTCACACAAGTTGCTCACACAAGTTGCTCACACAAGTTGCTCACACAAGTTGCTCACACAAGTTGCTCACACAAGTTGCTCACACAAGTTGCTCACACAAGTTGCTCACACAAGTTGCTCACACAAGTTGCTCACACAAGTCGCTCACACAAGTCGCTCACACAAGTCGCTCACACAAGTTGCTCACACAAGTTGCTCACACAAGTTGCTCACACAAGTTGCTCACACAAGTTGCTCACACAAGTTGCTCACACAAGTTGCTCACACAAGTTGCTCACACAAGTTGCTCACACAAGTTGCTCACACAAGTTGCTCAGCAAGTTGCTCACACAAGTTGCTCACACAAGTTGCTCACACAAGTTGCTCACACAAGTTGCTCACACAAGTTGCTCAGCAAGTTGCTCACACAAGTTGCTCAGCAAGTTGCTCACACAAGTTGCTCACACAAGTTGCTCACACAAGTTGCTCAGCAAGTTGCTCACACAAGTTGCTCAGCAAGTTGCTCACACAAGTTGCTCAGCAAGTTGCTCACACAAGTTGCTCACACAAGTTGCTCACACAAGTTGCTCACACAAGTTGCTCAGCAAGTTGCTCACACAAGTTGCTCACACAAGTTGCTCACACAAGTTGCTCACACAAGTTGCTCACACAAGTTGCTCACAACAAGCTGCTCACACAAGTTGCTCACACAAGTTCGCTCCAGGCACGTGCTCACACAAGTTGCTCACACAAGTGCTCACACAAGTTGCTCACACAAGTTGCTCACACACAGTTGCTCAGCAAGTTGCTCACACAAGTTGCTCAGCAAGTTGCTCACCACAAGTTGCTCACACAAGTTGCTCACACAAGTTGCTCACACAAGTGCTCACAAAGTGCTCACACAAGTGCTCACACAAGTTGCTCAGCAAGTTGCTCACACAAGTTGCTCACACAAGTTGCTCACACAAGTTGCTCACACAAGTTGCTCACACAAGTTGCTCACACAAGTTGCTCACACAAGTGCTCACACAAGTTGCTCAGGCCAAGTTGCTCACACAAGTTGCTCAACAAGTTGCTCACACAAGTTGCTCACACAAGTGCTCACACAAGTTGCTACACAAGTTGCTCACACAAGTTGCTCACACAAGTTGCTCACACAAGTTGCTCACACAAGTTGCTCACACAAGTTGCTCACACAAGTGCTCACACAAGTTGCTCACACAAGTCGCTCACACAAGTTGCTCACACAAGTTGCTCACACAAGTTGCTCACACAAGTTGCTCACACAAGTTGCTCAACCAAGTTGCTCACACAAGTTGCTCACACAAGTTGCTCACACAAGTTGCTCACACAAGTTGCTCACACAAGTTGCTCACACAAGTTGCTCACACAAGTTGCTCACACAGGTTGCTCACACAAGTTGCTCACACAAGTTGCTCACACAAGTTGCTCACACAAGTTGCTCACACAAGTTGCTCACACAAGTTGCTCAGCAAGTTGCTCACACAAGTTGCTCACACAAGTTGCTCACACAAGTTGCTCACACAGGTTGCTCACACAAGTTGCTCACACAAGTTGCTCACACAAGTTGCTCACACAAGTTGCTCACACAAGTTGCTCAGCAAGTTGCTCACACAAGTTGCTCACACAAGTTGCTCACACAAGTTGCTCACACAAGTTGCTCACACAAGTTGCTCAGCAAGTTGCTCACACAAGTTGCTCACACAAGTTGCTCACACAAGTTGCTCACACAAGTTGCTCACACAAGTTGCTCACACAAGTTGCTCACACAAGTTGCTCAGCAAGTTGCTCACACAAGTTGCTCACACAAGTTGCTCACACAAGTTGCTCAGCAAGTTGCTCAGCAAGTTGCTCAGCAAGTTGCTCACACAAGTTGCTCAGCAAGTTGCTCACACAAGTTGCTCACACAAGTTGCTCACACAAGTTGCTCACACAGGTTGCTCACACAAGTTGCTCACGCAAGTTGCTCACACAAGTTGCTCACACAAGTTGCTCACACAAGTTGCTCACACAAGTTGCTCACACAAGTTGCTCACACAAGTTGCTCACACAAGTTGCTCAGCAAGTTGCTCATACAAGTTGCTCAGCAAGTTGCTCACACAAGTTGCTCAGCAAGTTGCTCAGCAAGTTGCTCACAACTCCACAACCAGAGTTCAGTTCAAGTTGGTTGTGTTGAACCTGGGTGGGAGTCTCAGATGCCCACGAACCACCGCCACCCCCTCCCCGCTACCCCCCTCCCCCAACCACCACCACCATCCCCCCCACCACCCCCGCCCACCACCCCCACCCACCACCACCCCCCACACCTCCACCACCCCCCACACCTCCACCACCACCACACCCCACACCACCACCACCCACCACCCCCTCCACCATCCACTCCCCCCCCCCATCATCCAACCCCCCCCACCACCCGCCCCCCCCACCCCCCCCCACCACCCCCCCACCAACCCCCCACCACCCACTATGGTCGGCTCCGAAGCAGCCCAGGATCTCGAGCAGCGCCTCAGCGGCGAGCTGCCAGAGCAGCGCCCCCATGAGGAGCAGCTTGTCCCAGCGGTCGGGCAGGTCCAGGGCCACCATGTCCACCCCCAGGAAGAGGCAGGCAGCTGCACCAAGCCGGTAGCAGTGGTAGTGGTGGTAGTGGTGGTAGTGGTAGTGGTGGTAGTGGTGGTAGTGGTGGTACCAGTGGTAGCAGTGGTAGTGGTGGTAGTGGTAGCAGTGGTAGTGGTGGTAGTGGTGGTAGCAGTGGTAGTGGTGGTAGCAGTGGTAGTGGTGGTAGCAGTGGTAGTGGTGGTAGCAGTGGTAGTGGTAGCGGTGGTAGTGGTAGCAGTGGTAGTGGTGGTAGTGGTGGTAGTGGTAGCGGTGGTAGTGGTAGCAGTGGTAGTGGTGGTAGTGGTGGTAGCAGTGGTAGTGGTGGTAGCAGTGATAGTGGTGGTAGCAGTGGTAGTGGTGGTAGCAGTGGTAGTGGTAGCGGTGGTAGTGGTAGCAGTGGTAGTGGTGGTAGTGGTAGCAGTGGTAGTGGTGGTAGTGGTAGTAGTGGTGGTAGTGGTAGTAGTGGTAGTGGGGGTAGTGGTAGCAGTGGTACCAGTGGTAGTGGTGGTACCAGTGGTAGTGGTGGTAGTGGTGGTAGTGGTAGTGGTAGCAGTGGTAGCAGTGGTAGTGGTAGCAGTGGTAGTGGTAGCAGTGGTAGTGGTAGCAGTGGTAGTGGTAGTGGTGGTAGTGGTGGTAGTGGTAGTGGTAGCAGTGGTAGTGGTGGTAGTGGTGGTAGTGGTAGCAGTGGTAGCAGTGGTAGTGGTGGTAGTGGTAGTGGTAGCAGTGGTAGTAGTGGTAGTGGTGGTAGCAGTGGTAGTGGTGGTAGTGGTGCCAGTGGTAGTGGTGGTAGTGGTAGTGGTAGCAGTGGTAGTGGTAGCAGTGGTAGTGGTAGCAGTGGTAGTAGTGGTAGTGGTAGTAGCAGTGGTAGTAGTGGTAGTAGTGGTAGCAGTGGTAGTAGTAGCAGTGGTAGTGGTGGTAGTGGTAGCAGTGGTAGTGGTAGCAGTGGTAGTGGTAGCAGTGGTAGCGGTGGTAGTGGTAGCAGTGGTAGCAGTGGTAGTGGTAGCAGTGGTAGCAGTGGTAGTGGTGGTAGTGGTAGCAGTGGTAGTGGTAGTAGTGGTAGCAGTGGTAGCAGTGGTAGTGGTAGCAGTGGTAGTGGTAGTAGTGGTAGTGGTAGCAGTGGTAGTGGTAGCAGTGGTAGTGGTAGCAGTGGTAGTAGTAGCAGTGGTAGTGGTGGTAGTAGTAGCAGTGGTAGTGGTAGCAGTGGTAGTGGTAGCAGTGGTAGCAGTGGTATCAGTAGTACGGCAGTGGAAGTAACAGCAAAGGAGAGGCACATGTTAGCATACATCACGTAGTCTATAGCATGTAACATGTAGTGTTATAGCACGTAGTCTATAGCATGTAACATGTAGTCTACAGCACATAGTGTATAGCGCATAGCACGTAGTCTATAGCACGTTAGTCTACATCACATAGCATGCACGTAGTCTATAGCGCGTCGTCGATAGCACATAGCATGTGTCATGACAGGGGAGTCAACCTGCAGTGCGAGTGGACTGGTGGACACGGGAGGTAATGACAGGGGAGTCAGCCTGCGGTGCGAGTGGACTGGTGGACACGGGAGGTAATGACAGGGGAGTCAGCCTGCGGTGCGAGTGGACTAGTGGCCACGGGAGGTAATGACAGGGGAGTCAGCCTGCAGTGTGAGTGGACTAGTGGCCGCGGGAGGTAATGACAGGGGAGTCAGCCTGCAGTGTGAGTGGACTGGTGGCCACGGGAGGTAATGACAGGGGAGTCAGCCTGCAGTGTGAGTGGACTAGTGGCCACGGGAGGTAATGACAGGGGAGTCAGCCTGCAGTACGAAGGGACTAGTGGCCGCGGGAGGTAATGACAGGGGAGTCAGCCTGCAGTACGAATGGACTGGTGGCCGCGGAAGGTAATGGCAGGGGAGTCTGCCTGCAGTGTGAAGGGACTAGTGGCCATGGGAGGTAATGACAGGGGAGTCAGCCTGCAGCGCGTAGTCTATAGCGTGTAGTGCGAGCTACACACGGTGGTGTTACCGGCAAGGATGCGAGCCGCTGTCCCCACGAACCAATGAGCCCAATTAAACAGCGGCCTCCTGCAGCACAGACACACACACAGGCAAAGGTCCCCCGCGTAGCCTTTAACGGACTGTCAGGGCAAGTGTTGTTCATACCCACAGGGCACACAGACAAAGATTCGCTATTTTGTTTACACCTGAAGACGGACGCTTTTGTGTTGCGACCGAAAACGTCGCGTTTCCTCTTTATTTCATTATTATTTTTTCTACCCACGTGACTTTGCCAAAAGAACCGGAGAGTATGGATTCCTGCAGCCACGAAAGCTTCAAATCAGCAAAAACAAAAATCCCCCCGTGTAGCCTTTAACGGACTGTCGGGGCAAGTGCTGTTTCGTAGTGATGAGCAGAAGCACCCTATGATTACAAAGATCCCCCGTGTAGCCTCAGCAGACTGTCGGGGCAAGCGCTGTTAGCGAGCAGCACCTATGAAGGCCGGCACGGCACACGAGGGGGGTGGGTGGCCAGCACCACGCCCGGCCGCCTTTGTCTCCCTAGTGGCGATGTTTACTGCACACCGCACCAGGTAACGCATTTGAGGCCGAGTCGACCTAGGGGATGCCCGGGACCGGTTCAGATAACCGTCACCGGTGTTGGCCTGTGATAACCGGCACTGTGGCACACACGAGGGGGTGGGTGGCCAGCACCACCACGCACGCCCGGCCGCCTTTGTCTCCCCCAGTGGCGATGTTTTACTACGCACCGCGCCAGGTACTCATTTGAGGCCGAGTCGACCTAGGGGAACCTAAAGGACCGAGTTAAATAATCGGTTTTGGTGGTGGTGGTGGTGGCACCTGGGCCCGTCCCGTGACCTCCTCCTGCACCTAGCCTGGCACAGCAGCCGACCCGTGACACTTGGGCCCGTCCCGTGACTACCTCCTCCTGCACCTAGCCTGGCACAGCGGCCGACCCGTGACACTTGGGCCCGTCCCGTGACCTCCTCCTGCACCTAGCCTGGCACAGCGGCCGACCCGTGGCACCTGGGCCCGTCCCGTGACTACCTCCTCCTGCACCTAGCCTGGCACAGCGGTCGACCCACGGCACCTGCTGGGTCTGTCCCGTGACTACCTCCTCCTGCACCTAGCCTGGCACAGAGTGCCTCCACTTACATCGGGGTGTTGGGGTGAGGCCTGAAGACCGCCATGATGGGTTGCATCAAGGCCAGGAACATGACGATGCAGCCCAGCACCGAGTGGGCCCTCTGTGAAGACAAAGATCCCCCGTGTAGCCTCAACAGATTGATGGGGCAAGTGCTGTTAGCGAGCACTTGTGGCACTTGTGAAGGCCGTCACTGTGAGGCCGGCGGGTGGCCAGGCAGCCACCCACCACGCCTGGCCGCCTTTGTCTCTCCCCCAGCGGCGCTGGAGGCGGTGGGTGGGTGGGTTGGTGGTTTGGTGGGTGGGTGGGTTGGTGGGTTGGTGGGTCAGTGGGTGAGTGGATTGGTGGGTTGGTGGGTGGGTGGGTTGGTGGGTCGGTGGGTCGGTAGGTCGATCGGTGGGTGGGTGGATTGGTGGGTTGGTGGGTCGGTAGGTGGGTCGGTGGGTGGGTGGGTTGGTGGGTTGGTGGGTTGGTGGGTCAGTGGGTGGGTGGGTTGGTGGGTCGGTGGGTGGGTTCGTGGGTGGGTGGGTTGGTGGGTGGGTTGGTAGGTCGGTGGGTGGGTGGGTCGGTGGGTCGGTGGGTGGGTGGGTCGGTGGGTGAGTTGGTGGGTGGGTCGGTGGGTGGGTGGGTTGGTGGGTCAGTGGGTGGGTGGGTTGGTGGGTCGGTGGGTTGGTAGGTCGATCGGTGGGTGGGTGGATTGGTATGTTGGTGGGTCGGTAGGTGGGTCGGTGGGTGGGTGGGTTGGTGGGTGGGTTGGTGGGTTGGTGGGTTGGTGGGTCAGTGGGTGGGTGGGTTCGTGGGTGGGTGGGTTGGTAGGTCGGTGGGTGGGTTGGTGGGTCGGTGGATCGGTGGGTGGGTGGGTCGGTGGGTGGGTGGGTCGGTGGGTGGGTTGGTGGGTGGGTCGGTGGGTGGGTGGGTAGGTGGGTGGGTGGGTGGGCCTGGGCAGACTCACCCCGCTCCATCCCAGGCGGTAACAGAAGGGGATGACGAAGGCGGTGATGGTGGTGAGGACGGCGAGCACCATGAGGCCGCGGTGCAGCTGGAACCAAACCTTCTCGCCCAGCAGCTTCGTGTTGGGCCACACGGGCTTGAAGAAGCGTGCGAGCACCACGCCCACGCTGCACAGGCTCAGCCACGCCACCAGCATCAGGGCGCCTGGGGCCGGGGGGGGGGGAGTGGGGGAGAGGGAGTGGAGGGAGTGGAGGAGAGGGAGTGGAGGAGAGGGAGTGGAGGAGAGGGAGTGGAGGAGAGGGAGTGGAGGAGAGGGAGTGGAGGAGAGGGAGTGGAGGAGAGGGAGTGGAGGAGAGGGAGTGGAGGAGAGGGAGTGGAGGAGAGGGAGTGGAGGAGAGGGAGTGGAGGAGAGGGAGTGGAGGAGAGGGAGTGGAGGAGAGGGAGTGGAGGAGAGGGAGTGGAGGAGAGGGAGTGGAGGAGAGGGAGTGGAGGAGAGGGAGTGGAGGAGAGGGAGTGGAGGAGAGGGAGTGGAGGAGAGGGAGTGGAGGAGAGGGAGTGGAGGAGAGGGAGTGGAGGAGAGGGAGTGGAGGAGAGGGAGTGGAGGAGAGGGAGTGGAGGAGAGGGAGTGGAGGAGAGGGAGTGGAGGAGAGGGAGTGGAGGAGAGGGAGTGGAGGAGAGGGAGTGGAGGAGAGGGAGTGGAGGAGAGGGAGTGGAGGAGAGGGAGTGGAGGAGAGGGAGTGGAGGAGAGGGAGTGGAGGAGAGGGAGTGGAGGAGAGGGAGTGGAGGAGAGGGAGTGGAGGAGAGGGAGTGGAGGAGAGGGAGTGGAGGAGAGGGAGTGGAGGAGAGGGAGTGGAGGAGAGGGAGTGGAGGAGAGGGAGTGGAGGAGAGGGAGGGAGGGAGTGGAGGGAGGGAGTGGAGGGAGTGGAGGGAGGAGAGGGAGTGGAGGGAGTGGAGGGATGGGAGGAGAGGGAGGAAAGGGAAGGAGTGGAGGGAGTGGATGAGAGGGAGGGAGTGGAGGGAGTGGAAGGATGGGAGGAGAGGGAGTGGAGGGAGTGGAGGGAGTGGAGGGAGGGAGTGGAGGGAGGAGAGGGAGTGGAGGGAGGGGGGAGGGAGTTGAGGAGAGGAAGTGGAGGGAGGAGAGGGAGTGGAGGGAGTGGAGGAGAGGGAGGGAGGAGAGGGAGTGGAGGAATGGGAGGAGAGGGAGGGAGCCAAATAACTCTCAAGTTATTTGGCTGCTGCTGTTATGAAGTTCCACATGGCAACAATGATGGTCACGACCACCGCTTACCACCACCATCTCCGCTCACCACCACCGCTCACCACCACCACCACCGCTCACCACCACCGCTCACCACGACCACCTCCGCTCACTACCACCACTCACCACCACCAACACCGCTCAGCACCACCGCTCACCACCACCACCACCGCTCGCCACCACCGCTCACCACCACCACCACCGCTCACCATCACCGCTCACCACCACCACCACCACCACCGCTCACCACCACCGCTCACCACCACCGCTCACCACCACCGCTCGCCACCGCCGCTCACCGTGCGCCTTGACGAGGTTGTTGGAGCGCGTGACGGCCACCTCCACCGGAGATCCGAGAGGAGCGATGCGATACCTGGAGACCATTGGTTGCACATCGTGTTTCTCTATCTCTCCTGTACGTAGACACGCAGGCACGGGGACACGGGGACACGGGGAGAATGAGACACGCAGGAGTGTGTCTGTGTGTCTGTGTGTGTGTGCACAGGTGCGTGTCTAGGCAACGTTGTCGTGGACAGTGCTGTGGAGGCGAGGGTGGGGAGGGCCAATTTAAATTGGCCTTTACCCTCAGGGCGTTTGTGACCACCACAGCAGCTAAATGGGGGCTCTGGAAGGGTGCGAGGGGCTGGTGACCACCTCCACCTTAAATAAATTACCACGTAAAAAATATCTCGTTAATAAGCTTGTGCCGTGGGGACAGGCGTCTATGACGTCTCCTGGCCAAACCCCATTTGGCAGAGCCAGGAGAGTGAATCTCTACCCTCGGGGCTCCTCCAGAAACAACAAAGAGCCACTGCGGGTGGCCACGTGGAATGTTCGAACGCTCACTGAGGAGGAGAGGCTGCCACTCTTCTGCCCTCTGACCATCGACTTGTCATCTGTAAGATGCGCCTGCCATTCTTCCACTCCAGTGGTGGGTGTACACCCAGGACTCCATTCAAACCTAAGGTAGCCTGGTCTCAGCTAGCTGATTAAAGTTGCAAGTGAGAATTTCATCGTCGCTTGTGGTTGAGGTTGGCATCGTCCCCCACTCCTCCAGATGTCGAGGGTAAATGGGCGAGGTTTAGGACTGTGACTCATGCAGCGGCAATGACTGCTTTGGGTACGCGGTTCAGACCTCCCCAGAGACCCTGGCTGACAGAGGAGGTGTTCAGGATGGCTGAGAAAAAGCGACAGGCCCACTCTAATCGTCTACAGCATCCCACATCAGAGAATGAGGAGGCTTACTGCAGCCTTCGCTCGGAGGTTCGGAGAGCCGTGAGGCGCTGCAAGGATGGGTGGTGGTCGCGGGTTGCTGAGGAGATGGAGTCTGCCTCAGTGGCCCGCGATCACAAATCTTTATTTAACTCCATCAAAAAAGTAACCTGCAGCGCCACACCTATTCCCATGTGGTACAGGAGGGAAAAAACGGTGATCCAATCTCCGACCCCCAAGAACAGGTTTGCAAATTTGCTGAGCATTTCTGTGAAGTCCTGGGGGAGGGAAAATCGCTCAGCCAGGAAAACATCGTGGCACAAAGTGAGGATGACCCTGCTGAGGCTGCGGTGCCTCAAATATTGGAGGAAGAAGTTACCCCCTGTGAGTGGCTGGCTGAGATGCCATCAGTTGAGGAAGTACTGAAGGCGATCCAAAGTCTGAAACCAGGAAAGGCAGCGGGCAGAGATGATCTCCCAAGCGAAATGCTGAGGGAGGGTGGCGTTTGTGCACAGACTGCCCTATATCACATCCTAACAACAGTCTGGACCACTGAACGGGTTCCGCAGGATTGGAAGGATGCCCTGGTGGTCCCCCTTTTTAAGAAGGGGGACCGCACAGACTGTAACAACTACAGGGGCATCTCACTCCTCAGTGTGCCGGGAAAGGTCCTGGCAATGATTATTCAACATGGCCTTGCCAGGCACGCTGAGGAGAGGCTTGCGGAGCCCCAATGCGGTTTCAGGAAAGGGCGGTCCTGCACAGACGCCATATTTTCTGTCCGTCTGCTACAGCAGAGGTGTAGGGAATTCCAACAAGACCTACATCTCTGCTTTATTGACCTGGTCAAGGCATATGATACCATCAGTAGGCCTGGACTCTGGGTTGTTCTTTGTGTTTTCGGAGTCCCTGACCCTCTGCTCACGATCATTAAGAACCTTCATGATGGTGAGTGGGCCCGGGTAAAACTACGTGGCCGAAAGTCGGAGCCATTCACTGTTCACTTTGGGGTGCGACAGGGATTTCCTCTGGCTCCCACATTGTTTAACATCTTTTTCGACCACGTAGTTCGTGAAGCCTTTGATGGCTGTAGCTGGCCTGCCTACGATCCCTCATGGGTTTAACCAGGCTGGATTGTGTGAGGAGCTCACAAATCCTTGAAAGATCTGGGCAAAGTCCCATCGGTAAGCTCCTCCGGCAGGCAAGGCTGCGTTGGCTGGGTCATGTAGCCTGCATGCCCAGTCACCACATGCCCAAACAGCTTTGTTCGGCCGGATAGAGGGGGCTAAACGGCCATGGCACGGGCTAGAGAAGAGATGGAGTGATGTGGTACAGGAGGACGTGGAGCTGAGTGGACTTGCCGATGACTGGTACCAGCGGTGTCAAGATCGGCCTCTGTGGAGGAGGCTCGTGAAGGACGCTACTAGGCAGTTGGAGGCAGTTGGAGGCAATCGCCCTCCAACAACAACGGAGGGCGGAGGAGCGACGCTCACAACAACGAGCGGAGCGCCGGGTGACTAAAGCACAGCAGGTTGGCACAGTAGGGGGCACAGGTGGTGCATCAGCCAGTCATCTCAGTCATCTCAGTCAGTCGACCCGTGGCACCTGGGTCTGCCCAGTGACCTCCTGCCAGCGGGCGTTCGACACTTCACGTGGCCTCACGGTGCACATAGCCTGGCACAAGCGTCGTGGTGACGTCACCGCCACTTAGTGGCGAATGGCGGTTGTTGTTGTTGTGTGTGTGTACAGGTGTGTGTGTACAGGTGTGTGTGTACAGGTGTGTGTGTGTGTACAGGTGTGTGTGTGTACAGGTGTGTGTGTGTGTGTACAGGTGTGTGTGTGTGTGTGTACAGGCGTGTGTGTGTGTACAGGTGTGTGTGTGTGTACAGGTGTGTGTGTACAGGCGTGTGTGTGTGTACAGGCGTGTGTGTGTACAGGTGTGTGTGTGTGTACAGGTGTGTGTGTACAGGTGTGTGTACAGGCGTGTGTGTACAGGTGTGTGTGTGTGTACAGGTGTGTGGGTGTGTACAGGTGTGTGTGTGTGTGTACAGGCGTGTGTGTACAGGTGTGTGTGTACAGGCGTGTGTACAGGTGTGTGTACAGGTGTGTGTGTGTGTGTACAGGTGTGTGTGTACAGGCGTGTGTGTGTACAGGTGTGTGTGTGTACAGGTGTGTGTGTGTACAGGTGTGTGTGTGTGTACAGGTGTGTGTACAGGTGTGTGTGTGTGTACACGCGTGTGTGTGTGTACAGGTGTGTGTGTGTGTGTACAGGTGTGTGTGTGTGTACAGGTGTGTGTACAGGTGTGTGTGTGTACAGGTGTGTGTGTGTACAGGTGTGTGTGTGTGTACAGGTGTGTGTGTACAGGTGTGTGTGTGTGTACAGGTGTGTGTGTGTGTACAGGCGTGTGTGTGTCTGTACAGGTGTGTGTGTGTGTGTGTACAGGCGTGTGTGTGTGTGCGTACACAGATGTGTGTCTATACAGGTGTGTGTGTGTGTACAGGTGTGTGTGTGTACAGGTGTGTGTGTACAGGCGTGTGTGTGTGTACAGGCGTGTGTGTGTACAGGTGTGTGTGTGTGTGTACAGGTGTGTGTGTACAGGTGTGTGTGTACAGGCGTGTGTGTACAGGTGTGTGTGTGTACAGGTGTGTGGGTGTGTACAGGTGTGTGTGTGTGTGTACAGGCGTGTGTGTACAGGTGTGTGTGTGTACAGGCGTGTGTACAGGTGTGTGTGTGTACAGGTGTGTGTGTGTGTACAGGTGTGTGTGTACAGGCGTGTGTGTGTACAGGTGGGTGTGTGTACAGGTGTGTGTGTGTGTACAGGTGTGTGTGTGTACAGGTGTGTGTGTGTGTACAGGTGTGTGTACAGGTGTGTGTGTGTGTACACGCGTGTGTGTGTGTACAGGTGTGTGTGTGTACAGGCGTGTGTGTACAGGTGTGTGTGTGTGTGTACAGGTGTGTGTGTGTGTACAGGTGTGTGTGTACAGGCGTGTTTGTGTCTGTACAGGTGTGTGTGTACAGGTGTGTGTGTGTACAGGTGTGTGTGTACAGGTGTGTGTATGTGTACAGGCGTGTGTGTGTGTGTACAGGTGTGTGTGTACAGGTGTGTGTGTGTGTACAGGCATGTGTGTGTGTACAGGTGTGTGTGTGTGTACAGGTGTGTGTGTACAGGCATGTGTGTACAGGTGTGTGTGTGTGTGTACAGGCGTGTGTGTACAGGCGTGTGTGTACAGGCGTGTGTGTACAGGCGTGTGTGTACAGGCGTGTGTGTACAGGCGTGTGTGTGTGTGTGTACAGGCCACGCGTCCCACCATCGTCTGTCTCCCCGTGTGCCAAGAAGAGGTAGTACTGCTTCTTGAGGTCGGCCTTCCTGGGCTCGGTGGCCACCTGGCTCAGGGTGAAGGAGCACTGCAGCATGCCGTCGGCGACCCGTGCCGACGCGTTGGACATGCTCGCCTGCGCCCACCACCACAGACGACAACAACAACGACAACAACAACGACAACAACAACGACAACAACTTTCGATGTAAAGCTTTCGTGACTGCAAGGATTCATCTTCTTTGGTTCTTTCGGTAAAGTCACCACCACGTAGAATGAGAATAAAATAATAAATTGATCAAATAAAATAACGCAATAATATTCTCACGACGTTTTGGCCACAACACAAGCGGCCTTCATCAGGTGAAGGGACGAGACTGTCTGGAGGACAGCGCTGGAGTGAAAAAGGCACGCTCAGATCGCGACCTTTAAGCTGCGTGAGAAGAGACAAAGCGCCTTGACAAAGGAATTAGCATAGAATTTAGCATTGAAATGGCTGAGTGATTAGCTTGTAACTGGTCACAGAAATAGCTATGTTAAAGTCGGAGCATACACATTACAGAGGCACCCCTTGACAAAGGAATTAGCATAGAATTTAGCATTGAAATAGCTAAGTTAAAGCATACACATCCGCAGAGGCACCCCTTGACAAAGGAATTAGCATAGAATTTAGCATTGAAATAGCTGAGTGATTAGCTTGTAACTGGTTACAGAAATAGCTATGTTAAAGTCAGAGCATATACATTCACAGAGGCACCTAGTACAAATCAAACAGGAGAATTTAGCATTGAAATAACTAGGCAAATTTAGCATTGAAATAACTGAGTGATTAGCTTGTGACTGGTCACAGAAATGGCTATGTTGAAGTCAAGGCCTACACATCTGAGCTATTCACAGTAACTGGGTATACACTACAATATATAATGAATACTATATAGTGAACCAATAAAAATAAAAAAAATAAAAAAAAAATACCTCAATGTTATCAATAAACTCTATATATTCTACAATCAGCTAAGCTACCAACATTAAGTCGTTATATATCACAATGCTATATGGCGAACAAATGGGTGGATTCTTACCCTCAACTTTAGCAACACGGATAGCTACGGGCCCCGTTCAGACGGACGAGTTCATCCATGGTCGGAACAGAGGAGGGGGAGAGAGACAGCTGCGAGGCGCTGTTATACTCCATGTTGTAAACCATACCATTAACCGTGGTGTGAGAGGTATTAAGAGTCAATGCCAGCGAAAGAGCTGCGGTCTGAAGGTCATCGTAAAATACAATTAATTAAGAATGGAAATGGTTTAAAACATCTTTCCAATGGTTACTAAGCCAGAATCCATCTTCTCAGTTGAAATTGTCTCTGTGCTTGTATATGTGAATGGCCTCATGAACGAATCTCTCATGGTAGCCGGTTGGTTTGCAAAGAACCTCCGTCTTGGAGAAGTCAATGTCATGTGAGCCCACTGAATTATAACAGTGATCTGCCACGGCAGAGGAGTTCGTTCTACCGTGTTTCAAGTCTGCTTTATGTTCGTGGATGCGGTCCGAGATATGTCGTTTGGTTTCTCCAATGTAGCTACTACCACAGAGGCACTTTAGTTTGTAAATGCCGGGGTACTGTATGTCTGGAATAGCATCTTTTACAGATGGAACTAGATCACGGATTTTATGTACTGTGTTGAATCGGACCTGGATCTTGTGTTTATTCAGGATTTTGGAGATCTTTTTAGTGACCCCTGCAATGTAGGGTAAGGTGATGGTTTTGAGTGGCTCCACAAGAGGATCCTTTTTCATGACTGGAGTGATGGCTTTGCGGATTGTGTAGTCGGAGTACCCATTAGCCCTGAGAGCCTGGTGTACGTGCTTGAGTTCACTGGTAATGTGTTCCTGGTCGGAAATGCATTGGGCTCTATGGTATAGAGTCTTGATGAGGGAGTTCTTCTGGGATGGATGGTGGTGGGAATCCGGTTTCAAGTAAGCATCTGTATGGGTAGCTTTCCTGAGCCACTCTGTCTGATGAGCCACTTTGTTGAGCTATCGTTTGTGATAGGCAGGGTCGCTTCTGACAAAGAGCTACACATCAGCTTAGTGCGGCCTTACCTGGTAAAATAAAAGAATTACGTTTTAGTGTGGGTCTCTGTGGGTCTCTGTGGGTCTCTATGGGTCTCTATGGGTCTCTTTGGGTCTCTATGGGTTTCTGTGGGTCTCTTTGGGTCTCTGTGGGTCTTTATGGGTCTTTGTGGGTCTCTATGGGTTTCTACGAGTGTGTAGAATCAACGCCACGCATTTCGATGATTTGGCTGCTGCTATAAATGTCGACATGACGAAGCCGACAGCGACAGCCAGACACGCTTCCGAAAACCCAACTAAGAGGCGCACAGCGGTGCCGGCGGCTCGTGACATCGCCACGAGGCGAGGCTCTGTCGCGAGTGGCCTCTCCTTGTTCTGATCGGGAAAAGAAAAACCCCCGTTGTGTTTACTGGCCTGCCCGTGAGCAGCGGAACGACTGCCTCGTCTGCCAACGGTAGGCATTTACAAACAACAACAACAACAACACGCAAACAACAACACAGCATGAGCCCTTGAGTCCACACCGCACGACCCCTACAGTGTTGCCAAAAGCCCGGGGGGTGGCTTCAAAAGAAAACATTATTTTTTCACGCTTCCTGAGAAATCTGCCAACAATGCCACGGGCAATGCGCCTGCCCTTCGCTGCTCCGGAGTGCCACGTGGCTGAAGGATCCCGGGCGCCCGCGTTGGCGGCGACGGGCGGCCGAGCGGGAGGCCCTGTCGACTGTTTCGAAGCCACTTTCGCGCACACCGGCCAGCGCGCCCGTTGCCCGCCGCCGTCCCGTTTCGTTCTCCGGTGAGGTGACGGTAACGGCAGCCTCGCCGCGAGCGTCACCCGCTTTTTTTGCCGAGGCGCCCTGGCCCTGCCACCGCGCGACACGGCCGACGCGACGGAGCTTGCCAAATTGGCCGCGTCGGAACGGGGGCGGTGGGTTGGGGTTTTCAAACGGCAGCAACAGCCGCCATTCGCCACCAGGCGGCGGTGACGTCACCACGACGTCACCCGCCACTTAAACGACACGCGCTCTTTCGCGCACAGGCGCAAGGCTTTTGGCGACCAACTTCAGTCATCGTGTAGAGGTTTTTTTTTGGGGTTGGATCGCGCAAGTGCGAATGTTTGTGTCGTAACCCTCCATTTCTATCCCCCCCCCCCCGTTGTTGCTGGATGTGTAATCAACGTCGTGCTACTCGAATTGCGAACGTCGCGGATTTACTCTCCAACACACCGGCTGGGCCGAGGTAGTACGCTACACTATAAACTACACTACACACTGCAATCCACTACACACCACGCTACACACTGCACTAGTAACTAATTGGCCCTACGTTCACGTGACGAATCCCTTGCCGATTGGCCGTGTCGGGTGGCTGAGGGGTCACGACACAACGTTCATACACTTCACGCCGATCTAAACCCCCGAAAACATTTATTACGAACGCGCGTACATTGCTCGCGCGACGCTGAACCCCCGTGCAAGCGTGCATTTGTGGGATCGTTAAATCATCGTCCGACGTCCGAGGGAGACGCACCAGCAGGATGGGGTTGGAGTACGAGGATGGGATATCTCGCCCGCTGCTGTACGACGTCCCGATGATGGGGCGGCCGTTCAGAATGGTGCACTGGTAAATGTCGTCGTCGCCCTGGCACGCGAAAGGTGGGGAGTGGCACACAATCAGAGACAAAGGGTGGCACGTGATCAAAGACAAAGGGTGGCACGTGATCAAAGACAAAGGGTGGCACGTGATCAAAGACAAAGGGTGGTACGTAATCAAAGACAAAGAGTGGCACGTGATCAAAGACAAAGGGTGGCACGTGATCAAAGACAAAGGGTGGCACGTGATCAAAGACAAAGGGTGGTACGTAATCAAAGACAAAGAGTGGCACGTGATCAAAGACAAAGGGTGGCACACAATCAAAGACAAAGGGTAGCACGTGATCAAAGACAAAGGGTGGCACACAATCAAAGACAAAGGGTGGCACGTGATCAAAGACAAAGGGTGGCACGCGATCAAAGACAAAGGGTGGCACGTGATCAAAGACAAAGGGTGGCACGTGATCAAAGACAAAGGGTGGCACGTGATCAAAGACAAAGGGTGGCACGCGATCAAAGACAAAGGGTGGCACGTGATCAAAGATAAAGGGTGGCACGTGATCAAAGACAAAGGGTGGCACGTGATCAAAGACAAAGGGTGGCACGTGATCAAAGACAAAGGGTGGCACGTGATCAAAGACAAAGGGTGGCACGTGATCAAAGACAAAGGTCACCCCCTCTCCCCCAGCGTGGCCTTAAGCACCGAGGGGCAAGTGCTGTTTGTGAGCGAGCGGCGACTATGAAGGCCAGAGGTGGGTGGATATCCCGGCCGCCTTTGTCTCCCCCCAGTGGCCAACAAAGAACAAAGATCCCCCGTGTCGCCTCTAAAAGACTGCTGGGGCAAGTGCTGTTAGCGAGCAGCAGCAGCACCGCCCTATGAAGGCTGGCACCATGGCACACGCAGAGGGGGTGGGTGGCCAGCACCACGCACGCCCGCCCGGCCACTCGCCCGGCCACTCGCCCAGCCACTCGCCCGGCCACTCGCCCTCCAACTCGCCCGGCCACTCGCCCACCCACTCGCCCGCCCGGCCACTCGCCCGGCCACTCGCCCAGCCACTCGCCCTCCAACTCGCCCGGCCACTCGCCCTCCAACTCGCCCGGCCACTCGCCCTCCAACTCGCCCGGCCACTCGCCCTCCAACTCGCCTGGCCACTCGCCCTCTAACTCGCCCGGCCACTCGCCCGGCCACTCGCCTGGCCACTCGCCCGGCCACTCGCCCTCCAACTCGCCCGGCCACTCGCCCTCCAACTCGCCCGGCCACTCGCCCTCCAACTCGCCCGGCCACTCGCCCTCCAACTCGCCCGGCCACTCGCCCTCCAACTCGCCCGGCCACTCGCCCTCCAACTCGCCCGGCCACTCGCCCTCCAACTCGCCCGGCCACTCGCCCTCCAACTCGCCCGGCCACTCGTCCTCTAACTCGCCCTCCAACTCGCCCACCCACTCGCCCGCCCGGCCACTCGCCCGCCCACTCGCCCAGCCACTCCCCCGCCCACTCGCCCTCCAACTCGCCCGGCTACTCGCCCAGCCACTCGCCCTCCAACTCGCCCGGCCACTTGCCCGGCCACTCGCCCAACCACTCGCCCAGTCACTCGCCCGGCCACTCACCCGGCCGCTCGCCCGCCCGCCCGCTCGCCCGCTCAATCGCCCGGCTACTCGCCCGCCCGCCCGCTTGCCCGCCCGCCCGCCCGCCCGCTCAATCGCCCGGCCACTCGCCCGGCCACTCGCTTGGCCACTCGCCCGGCCACTCGCCCTCCCACTCGCCCTCCAACTCGCCCACCCACTTGCCCGCCCGGCCACTCGCCCGGCCACTCGCCCAGCCACTCGCCCTCCAACTCGCCCGGCCACTCGCCCGGCCACTCGCCCGGCCACTCGCCCTCCCGACCACTCGCCCTCCCAACTCGCCCGGACACTCGCCCGGCCACTCGCCCTCCAACTCGCCCTCCAACTCGCCCTCCAACTCCCTCGGCCACTCGCCCGGCCACTCGCCCGGCCACTCACCATCCAGGTGTCGCCGGAGAAGCCGAGCGCCAGGTAGCCGGAGTCCGGCCCGCTTATCTCCACCGCCACCTGCTCGCTGGCCGGCTCCGGAGTCATCGCCACGAAGAAACATGAGCCTGAGGACGGGTCGCAGCGGGCCGGGAGGCGCATGCACGACTTGGAGAAGCCGCATCCAGTGATGTCCGGCTGCGGAGGGGAGGGACGGGATGGGGGGGGGAGGGTGGGAGGGGGGGGGAGGGGGGGAGGGGGGGAGGGGGGGAGGGAGGGTGGGAGGGGGGGAGGGAAGGGGGGGATGGGGAGGGGGGGGAGGGAGGGTGGGAGGGGAGGGAGGGGGGAGGGAGTGGAGGGAGGGATACGAGAGGGGGAGAAGAGGAGGGAGTTCATAGTCATGGTCGTGCAAGGTGATGGTGGTGGTGGTGGTAATGATGGTGGTAATGATGGTGGTGATGGTAGTAGCGATGGTGGTGGTGATGGTGGTGGTGGTGATGGTGGTGGTGATGGTGGTGATGATGGTGGTGGAGGTGGTGGTGATGGTGGTGGAGGTGGTGGTGATGGTGGTGGTGGTGATGGTGGTGATGATGGTGGTGGAGGTGGTGGTGGTGATGACGGTGATGATGATGATGGTGGTGGTGGTGCAACAGCAGCAGCGATAGAGGCCGCCAGGAGGCGCTGCTGCCATGACAATCTGTGCCCACGTGTCACCGACCACGTGACACCCCCACGTGACACCGACCACGTAACGTGTCACCCCCCCCCCCCCCCCCCCCCCCATGTCTCTGCCTCATGTTTCCCCCTCGTGTCTCCCCCCACGTGTCCCCCCCCCGCCAACCCGTGTCTCCCCCCCCCCCCGTGTCTCCCCCCCGTGTCTCCCCCCCGTGTCTCACCCCCGTGTCTCTCCCCCACGTGTCTCTCCCCCACGTGTCTCTCCCCCACGTGTCTGCCCCCACGTGTCTCTCCCCCACGTGTCTCTCCCCCACGTGTCTCTCCCCCACGTGTCTCTCCCCCCACGTGTCTCTCCCCCACGTGTCTCTCCCCCACGTGTCTCTCCCCCACGTGTCTCTCCCCCACGTGTCTCTCCCCCACGTGTCTCTCCCCCACGTGTCTGCCCCCACGTGTCTCTCCCCCACGTGTCTCTCCCCCACGTGTCTCTCCCCCCACGTGTCTCTCCCCACGTGTCTCTCCCCCACGTGTCTCTCCCCCACGTGCCTCTCCCCACGTGTCTCTCCCCCACGTGTCTCTCCCCACGTGTCTCTCACCACGTGTCTCTCCCCCACGTGTCTCTCCCACGTATCTCTCCCACGTGTCTCTCCCCCACGTGTCTCTCCCCACGTGTCTCTCCCCCACGTGTCTCTCCCCACGTGTCTCTCCCCACGTGTCTCTCCCCACGTGTCTCTCCCCACGTGTCTCTCCCCACGTGTGTCTCCCCACGTGTCTCCCCCACGTGTCGCCCCCACGTGTCGCCCCCACGTGTCTCTCCCCCCACGTGTCTCTCCCCCACGTGTCTCTCCCCCACGTGTCTCTCCCCCACGTGTCGCCCCCACGTGTCGCCCCCACGTGTCTCTCCCCACGTGTCTCTCCCCCCACGTGTCTCTCCCCCACGTGTCTCTCCCCCACGTGTCTCTCCCCCACGTGTCTCTCCCCCACGTGTCTCTCCCCACGTGTCTCTCCCCACGTGTCTCTCCCCACGTGTCTCTCCCCACGTGTCTCTCCCCACGTGTGTCTCCCCACGTGTCTCCCCCACGTGTCGCCCCCACGTGTCGCCCCCACGTGTCTCTCCCCCCACGTGTCTCTCCCCCACGTGTCTCTCCCCCACGTGTCTCTCCCCCACGTGTCGCCCCCACGTGTCGCCCCCACGTGTCTCTCCCCACGTGTCTCTCCCCCCACGTGTCTCTCCCCCACGTGTCTCTCCCCCACGTGTCTCTCCCCCACGTGTCTCTCCCCCACGTGTCTCTCCCCACGTGTCTCTCCCCAAGTGTCTCTCCCCACCTGTCTCCCCCACGTCTCTCCCCACGTGTCTCTCCCCCACGTGTCTCTCCCCACGTGTCTCTCCCCCACGTGTCTCTCCCCCACGTGTCTCTCCCCCACGTGTCTCTCCCCACGTGTCTCCCCCCACGTATCTCTCCCCCACGTGTCTCTCCCCCACGTGTCTCTCCCCCACGTGTCTCTCCCCCACGTGTCTGCCCCCACGTGTCTCTCCCCCACGTGTCTCTCCCCCACGTGTCTCTCCCCCACGTGTCTCTCCCCCACGTGTCTCTCCCCCCACGTGTCTCTCCCCACGTGTCTCTCCCCCACGTGTCTCTCCCCCACGTGTCTCTCCCCACGTGTCTCTCCCCCACGTGTCTCTCCCCACGTGTCTCTCACCACGTGTCTCTCACCACGTGTCTCTCCCACGTATCTCTCCCACGTATCTCTCCCACGTGTCTCTCCCCACGTGTCTCTCCCCCACGTGTCTCTCCCCACGTGTCTCTCCCCACGTGTCTCTCCCCACGTGTCTCTCCCCACGTGTGTCTCCCCACGTGTCTCTCCCCCACGTGTCTGCCCCCACGTGTCTCTCCCCCCACGTGTCTCTCCCCCACGTGTCTCTCCCCCACGTGTCTCTCCCCCACGTGTCTCTCCCCCCACGTGTCTCTCCCCACGTGTCTCTCCCCCACGGGTCTCTCCCCCACGTGCCTCTCCCCACGTGTCTCTCCCCCACGTGTCTCTCCCCACGTGTCTCTCACCACGTGTCTCTCCCCCACGTGTCTCTCCCACGTATCTCTCCCACGTGTCTCTCCCCCACGTGTCTCTCCCCACGTGTCTCTCCCCCACGTGTCTCTCCCCCACGTGCCTCTCCCCACGTGTCTCTCCCCCACGTGTCTCTCCCCACGTGACTCTCACCACGTGTCTCTCCCCCACGTGTCTCTCCCACGTATCTCTCCCACGTGTCTCTCCCTCACGTGTCTCTCCCCACGTGTCTCTCCCCCACGTGTCTCTCCCCACGTGTCTCTCCCCACGTGTCTCTCCCCACGTGTCTCTCCCCACGTGTCTCTCCCCACGTGTGTCTCCCCACGTGTCTCTCCCCCCACGTGTCTCTCCCCCACGTGTCTCTCCCCACGTGTCTCTCCCCAAGTGTCTCTCCCCACCTGTCTCCCCCACGTCTCTCCCCACGTGTCTCTCCCCCACGTGTCTCTCCCCCACGTGTCTCTCCCCCACGTGTCTCTCCCCCACGTGTCTCTCCCCCCACGTGTCTCTCCCCCTACGTGTCTCTCCCCCACGTGTCTCTCCCCCACGTGTCTCTCCCCACGTGTCTCTCCCCCACGTGTCTCTCCCCCCACGTGTCTCTCCCCCCACGTGTCTCTCCCCCACGTGTCTCTCCCCCCACGTGTCTCTCCCCCACGTGTCTCTCCCCACGTGTCTCCCCCCACGTATCTCTCCCCCACGTGTCTCTCCCCCACGTGTCTCTCCCCCCACGTGTCTCTCCCCCCACGTGTCTCTCCCCCACGTGTCTCTCCCCCCACGTGTCTCTCCCCCACGTGTCTCTCACCGAATACGTGATGTTGTCGACCTGGAGTTGACGTTCTGGCACGAGAGATGGCACCGTGGCAGACGGTTTGCCCAGGCGAGTGACCATGCCGCTGGGCAGGCCCACCCAGTAGACGGAGCGAGATTGCACGAACGTCGCCCTAGGTGGCAACAACAACAACAACATCAACAACATCAACAACAACATCAACATCAACAACATCAACAACAACAACAACATCAACAACATCAACAACAACAACAACATCAACAACAGCAACAACAACAACATGGATGTCATCCACAACAAGACCGACAATCGCATCGGCAGCATCAACGAGAGGGGGGGGGGGAGGCGGCAGAGCTTTGTGACGTCATATTTGAGGGGGAGGGGGGGTGTGGGTCTGACTTTTTGTGACCCCGTGTGACGAGCGGGGGTGGGTCGGTCAAAACCCGTCCAAAATCGCGTGATGTCATTTATGTACGACCCCAAAGCTGACATTGTATTATTTATTTATTTATTATTATTATTATTACAGGTGAGGACCCATTCAGAAGCGTCCCGTAATGTTGATTCAATAGACTCATAGAGACCCGTAGAGACCCACATAGACCCACACTCATAGAAAGCCACAGAGACCCATAGAAACCCATAGAGACCCACAGAGGCCCGCACTAAAATTAAACTAATTATGATTTTAACCAGGTGAGGCCCCACTCAGCTGATGTGTAGCTCTCTCTCTCTCTTTCAGAAGCGTCCACAGGGATATCACAAACGATAGCTCATCAGCATCGTCATCATGGTCGCATGGAAACTTTATAGCAGCAGACAATTGTGCTGAACGTGCGATGTTGCTGATCCTAAATGTGGGGTAGAAAACCGGGAGGACACGGAGAAAAATCCACGTGGCCACGGGGAACCAGGCGAGGTAGTCAACATCTCATAGCCACCGTGATGATGATGAGAGAGACACGCAGACTCCAAATATACAGCAGCAGGTGTTGCCAGGGTACGGGATCGAACCCACGACCTCCTGTAGGCCAGGCGAGGTAGTCAACATCTCATAGCCACCGTGATGATGATGAGAGAGAGAGAGACGCAGACTCCAAATATTCAGCAGCAGCAGCAGCAGCCATAGTCAGGGTCGGGATGGAACCCACGACCTCCTGTATACCAGGCGAGGTAGTCAACATCTCATAGCCACCGTGATGATGAGGGAGAGAGAGAGACGCAGACTCCAAATATACAGCAGCAGGCGTTGTCAGGGTACGGGATCGAACCCACGACCTCATGTACACCAGGCGAGGTAGTCAACATCCCCTAGCCACACCTGAAGAAGACATTGTCCGGGGAGTTTATTGTAGGAGTCCACGTGACACTGATGGTGATCTTGTCAATCATGCTCGTGTGAGTGACAGTTGAACCCTGGGAAGGAATCATCATCATCATCAGTACCATCATCAACAGCAGCAGCATTGTCATAATCATATTCACCATCAGTACCATTGTCATTAGCATCATCATAATCAGCAGCAGCATCATCATCAGCACCACCACCATCATCGCCGTCAATATCGCTGACGATGATGGTGACGCCGATGATGATGATGATGATAGTGCTGGTGGTGGTGGTGGTGATGATGGTGGTGGTGATGGCGGCGGTAGTGATGGTGGTGGTGATGATGAAGACGACGATGATGAAAACGACGATGATGGTGGTGGTGGTGATGATGGGGGTGGTGGTGATGGCGGTGATGATGATGGCGGTGGTGATTGCGGTGATGATGATGATGATGGCGGTGGTGATGATGGTGGTGATGATGATGGCGGTGGCGATGATGGTGGTGGTGATGATGATGCTGATGATGATGACGATGGTGGTGGTGATGATGGTAGTGGTGATGATTGCGGTGGTGACGATGATGGTGATGGTGATGATGATAGTGGTGGTGATGATGATGGTGGTAGTGACGATGGTGGTGATGACGGTGATGATGACGGTGGTGATGATGATGACGGTGGTGGTGATGATGACGGTGGTGGTGGTGATGATGATGGTGGTGATGATGACGGTGGTGGTGATGATGATGGTAGTGGTGATGATGGCGGTGGTGACGACGACGATGATGATGATGATGGCGGTGGTGATGATGATGGTGGTGGTGATGATGACGGTGGTGGTGATGATGGTGGTGATGACGATGACGATGGTGGTGGTGATGATGATGACGATGGTGGTGGTGATGATGGTAGTGGTGATGATGACGATGATGGTGGTGATGATGGTAGTGGTGATGATGACGATGATGACGGTAGTGGTGATGATGACGATGGTGGTAGTGATGATGGTGGTGATGACGATGGTGGTGATGATGGTGGCGGTGATGATGCCAATGGTGATGATGGTAGTGGTGATGATGACGATGGTGGTGATGGTGGTGGTGATGATGACGATGGTGATGATGGTAGTGGTGATGATAATGATGGTGGTGATGGTAGTGGTGATGATGACGATGGTGGTGATGATGGTGGCGGTGATGATGACGATGGTGATGATGGTAGTGGTGATGATGACGATGGTAGTGGTGATGATGACGATGGTGGTGATGGTGGTGGTGATGATGACGATGGTAGTGATGGTGGTGGTGATGATAACGATGGTGATGATGGTAGTGGTGATGATTACGATGGTAGTGGTGATGATTGCTTACCGTCGTTGGACACCGTCGGATCTGAGCTCGGGTATCTTGAATGCTGAGCCCTTCGAGGATGCCTTCAGTGACATTCCTCGCCTCCAGCATGAATCCAACAAAAGCGTCTGTCCCAGTCAGGGTCACTACCACCACCACCACCACAAAAACAACAACAACAACAAAGACGGTCTCATATGTTATATACACTACGTTATACACTACGCTATACACTGCACTGTACACTACACTACACACTACACTACTATACACTACACTGCACACTACACTACACACTACACTACAGGATACACTATACACTACACTATACACTACACTATACACTACACACTACACTATACACTACACTACGCTATACACTACACTACACACTACACTACTATACATTACACTACACTACTATACATTACACTACACACTACACTACACACTACACTACTATACACTACACTATACACTACACTATACACTACACTACACACTAAACTATACACTACACTATACACTACACTACACACGACACTACACACTAAACTATACACTACACTATACACTACACTACACACTACACTACACACTATACACTACACTATACACTACACTACACACTACACTACCATACACTACACTACACACTACACTACACACTATACACTACGTTATACACCACGCTATACACTACACTACACACTACACTACTATACAGTACACTATACACTACACACTACACTAGACACTACACTCTATACACTACACTATACTCTACTCTACAATCTACACTACTATACACTATACACTACACTATACACTATGCTATACACTATACAAGACACTATACAACACACTATACACTACACTATACACTACACTACTATACACTACACTATACACTACACTACACACTACACTATACACTACACTACACACTACTATACACTACACTATACACTAGACACTACTATACACTACACTATACACTACACTATAAACTACACACTACACTATACACTACACTACACACTACTATACACTACACTATACACTACACACTATACACTACACTATACACTACACTACTATACACTACACTATACACTACACTATACATTATACACTACACATTACTGTACACTACACTATATACTACAGTATACACTACACTACTATACACTACACTATACACTACACACTACTATACACTACATTATACACTACACTATACACTACACACTATACACTACACTATACACTACACTACACTATATACTACACTATACACTACACTATACACTATACACTACACCATACAATACACTATACACTACACTATACACTAGACTATACACTACTACTATACACTACACTATACATTACACTATACACTACACTATACACTACACTACACACTACAGGCAAATACTCACGTCGATTCTAAATGTGGAGGGGAAAGATGTGGAGAGAGAGAGAGAGAGACGCAGACTCCAAATCTACAGCAGCAGCAGCAACAGGCGTCGTCAGGGTCGGGATTGAACCCACGATCTCCTGCGTACCAGGCGAGGTAGTTAACATCTCATAGCCACCATGATGATGATGATGAGAGAGAGAGAGACACTGCAGACTCCAAATCTACAGCAGCAGCAGCAGGCGTTGTCAGGGTGGGGATCGAACCCACGACCTCCTGTGTACCAGGCGAGGTAGTCAACATCTCATAGCCACCGTGATGATGATGATGATAGAGAGAGAGAGACACGCAAACTCCAAATCTACAGCAGCAGCAGGCGTCGTCAGGGTGGGGATCGAACCCACGACCTCCTGCGTACCAGGCGAGGTAGTTAACATCTCCTAGCCACCGTGATGATGATGATTATGAGAAATACACAGACCTCCTGTATACCAGGCGAGGTAGTTAACATCTCCTAGCCACCGTGATGATGGTGAGAGAGAGAGAGACACCGCAGACTCCAAATCTACAGCAGCAGCAGCAGGCATCGTCAGAGTTGAGATCGAACCCATGACCTCCTGCGTACCAGGCGAGGCAGTCAACATCTCATAGCCACCGTGATGATGATGAGAGAGACACAGACCTCCTGTATACCAGGCGAGGTAGTCAACATCTCCTAGCCACCGTGATGATGATGATGAGAGAGAGAGAGAGACACTGTAGACTCCAAATCTACAGCAGCAGCAGCAGGCGTTGTCAGGGTGGGGATCGAACCCACGACCTCCTGCGTACCAGGCGAGGTAGTCAACATCTCCTAGCCACCGTGATGATGATGATGAGAGAGACACGCAAACTCCAAATCTACAGCAGCAGCAGCAGGCGTCGTCAGGGTGGTGATCCAACCCACGACCTCCCTGCGAGGCAGTCAACATGTCGGAGCTGCGTCGAATCTCACCGGTTATCGGGATGTCGTCCTGGAAGGTCGTGCCGCTCGCGACGACCGTGTAGCCGCCCCCGCCGCCGCCCTGGGCCACGCTGTCGTGAAGGGGGGCCATCGAGGTACACACAGACTCCACGAAGCCCGACTTAAAGGCCGACGCGGGAGCGACGTGTCCGAGCATCGCCACCGCGGCCGCCATCATCATCATCGCCGTCGTCGTCATAGTCGTCCGCCGTGACGTCATCGCCGGCCGTCGTGACGTCATGGTGGTGATGGTGGTGCTGGTGGTGGTGGTGGTGGTTGTTGTTGGTGTCGTTATCCCTGGCGACAGGAGAGAGAGAGAGAGAGGCATTGCAGAATGTTCGACATATGGCAGTCGCGTTATAAGGGCACCACGGGGTGACCAGCCCCTCCCCACCCAGCCCCTCCCCACCCTCCCCTCCCCACCCAGCCCCACCCCTCCCATTTTACATACCCGGGTGTTTCCGGATACACGTGGACAGACATCCACAGACATACACAATTAATCCCCTGCCTCCTGTGAATGGAATCCCGGGTGGGCCTCCAGTCCGCTACGTTTCCTACTACCGGTAAAAAAACTCCCTAACCTACCGGCCGGTCTCGAAAGACGTTGCGAGTGCCCGTTGCCGCCCACGGCTCTGAGTTGATGTCAGCTACCTAGTGGGACCCTCACTTATTGGTTCTGACACTGCTGGTGAGACCAGGCCAAGGATGAGATCGGCCCTGTCTGGTGTGGGGCAATCGGTCTCAAAAGACACAAAGGTCCCCGGCGTGGCCTCGAACAGGCCTGCTGGTGGCAAGTGCTGTTTGTAGCAAGCAAGCAAGCAGCAGCAGCAGCAGCAGCACCCAATGAAGGCCGGCACCTGTGGCATGATGAGGTGGTGCGCTTGGCCAGCATCGCAAAGACAAAGGTCCCCCGTGTAGCCTCAAACAGATTGTCGGGGCAAAGTGCTGTTTGTAGTCAGCAGCAGCAGCAGCATCTGTGAAGGCTAACCGGCACCGCGGCACACGAGAGGGGTGGGTGGGTGGGTGGCCAGCGCCACAAAGACAAAGGTCCCCCGTGTAGCCTCAATATGCTGTTGGGGGCAAGTGCGGTGAGCGGTTCAAGGCATTTCGTCATCCAACTCGGGTCGCCGGGTTCGTAGGGGCAGCGCGCTAACCACTGCACCACCGCTCCACCAAGCGCGTGCCCCGCGCGCTTTGAATTCTCCAACCGGTGGTGGGGGTGGTGGTGGTGGTGGGGGTGGTGGTGGGGGTGGTGGGGGTGGGAGTGGTGGGGGTTGTTAGGGTGGTGGTGGTGGTGGGGGTGGTGGTGGTGGGGTTTGTGGGGGTTGTGGGGGTGGTGGTGGGGGTTGGAGTGGTGGGGGTTGTGGGGGTGGTGGTGGGGGTGGTGGTGGGGGTGGTGGTGGTGGTGGGGTTTGTGGGGGTTGTTAGGGTGGTGGTGGTGGTGGGGGTGGGAGTGGTGGGGGTTGTTAGGGTGGTGGTGGGGGTGGGGTTTGTGGGGGTGGTGGTGGGGGTGGGAGTGGTGGGGGTTGTTAGGGTGGTGGTGGGGGTGGGAGTGGTGGGGGTTGTTAGGGTGGTGGTGGTGGTGGGGTTTGTGGGAGTGGTGGGGTTTGTGGGGGTTGTGGGGGTGGTAGTGGGGGTGGTAGTGGGGGTGGGAGTGGTGGGGGTTGTTAGGGTGGTGGTGGGGGTGGGAGTGGTGGGGGTTGTTAGGGTGGTGGTGGGGGTGGGAGTGGTGGGGGTTGTTAGGGTGGTGGTGGTGGTGAGGTTGGTGGTGGGCTTTGTTGGTGGGGGTTGTTAGGGTGGTGGTGGGGTTTGTGGGGGTTGTGGGGGTGGTGGTGGTGGGGTTTGTTAGGGTGGTGGTGGTGGTGGTGAGGTTGGTGGTGGGGTTGGTGGTGGGGTTTGTTGGTGGGGTTTGTTGGTGGGGGTGTGGTCGACTTCTCACTCCATTGGATCTCCTTTCGCGATTGTTGGCTGTTGATTAGCCCCAAAACAAACAGACAAAGGTCCCCCGTGTAGCCTCTAACAGACTGTAGGGGCAAGTGCCGTTAGCGAGCACCTATGAAGGCCGGATCGGTACACGAGGGGGTGGGTGGCCAGCACCACGCCCGACCGCCTTTGTCTCCCTAGTGGCGATGTTTACTACACATCGCACCGAGTACTCATTTGAGGCTGAGTCGACCTAGGGGAGGCCCACACTCACCCACACTTAGCCACACTCACTCATGCACACAAACAACAACCGCCATTCGCTACTCAATGGCGGTGATGTCACCACGCCGCTTGTGCCAGGCTAGGTGCACGTTGAGGTCACGTGAAGTGTCGAACGCCCGCTGGCAGGAGGTCACGGGGCAGACCCAGCAGGTGCTACACACACACTCCCACACACACCTACACACACACACCTACACAGCCCACACACACCACACACACATAGACACCTACACACCCCACACACACATACCTACACATCCACACACACTCACACCTACACACCCCACACACACCTACACACCACACACATACACCTACACACCCCACACACACCTACACACCCCACACACACACACCTACACACCCCAGACATACCCACACATCCATTCACACACCTCCACACACACCTACACATCCACCCACACACCCACCCAGACACACACACTCCCACACCTCCACACACACATCCACACGCACACACACACACCTACACATCCACAACCTACCCACACACCAAGACACTCACACACACCCACTCCCACACACCCACTCCCACACACCCACACACACAACCCACACACCCACCGAGACACACCCAGACACACCCCAACGCTGTCACCTCACACGCACCGGTGAAAGATGACCACCAGCTCTGCGCTAAATGTATCCCTGGCCAGCGGGCGTCACGCGATGTTGAAATCCCATGGGGTCTGCCCCCGTCTGACATTCCGTCCACACACACACACACACACGCGCCACTAAGCCGTGTTATTGTTAGTTTAACAGTGTGCGTGTGTGTGTGCCTATGGGGAGCGGTGGCGCAGCGGTTAGCGCTACGCTGCGCTACGAACCTGGCGACCCGGGTTCGATTCCCGCTCACGGCCAACACCACCAGTGACGATTATCTGAACCGGTCCCGGGGCCTCCCCCCTAGGTCGACTCGGCCTCAAATGAGTACCTGGTGCGGTGTGTAGTAAACACCCGCCACTGGGGAGACAAAGGCGGTCGGGCGTGGTGCTGGCCACCCACCCCCTCGTGTACCGGTCCGGCCTTCATAGGTGCTGCTCGCTAACAGCACTTGCCCCTGCAGTCTGTTAAGGCTATATGGGGGATCTTTGTGTGCCTATGGGGGTCGTCCAAAAAATATATATAAAACATGCTTCAAATCGCTTTAAGCTATTGTTGTCATTGTAGTAGTTGCGTATTTAATGTGGCGCCGCCACTCTGATGTTGTAGGAAGAAAACTTTTATTAAAAAAAAGTCTATTTAATTAAGTAGAACGTGTTGTGTCTATATTTAGCTATAAAGTTGCGCAATTTCATGTGACGTCAAATTTCTCACCCCACCCCCCCTCGTCATGAATGTCTGACTCCTCCCCTTAGGTGCGTGACGTCATTTATGGACGGCCCCTTTGTGTGTGGGACTTCTTTCACGCCGTACGTAGCCAACCGTTGCTAATCGGAGGTACGGGGGGGGGGGGACAACAGATTAAACAACAACAACAACGAGAAACAACAACAACAACAATAATAACGATAAACAACAACAACAATAACGAGATACAACAACAACAATAATAACGAGAAACAGTTCTACAGAAATTAGTTTGTCAATTTAGCATAGTAGTGTAGTGTATAGTGTAGTGTATAGTGTAGTGTATAGTGGAGTGTGTATAGTGTAGTGTGTAGTGTATAGTGTAGTAGTGTATAGTGTAGTAGTGTATAGTGTAGTGTATAGTGGAGTGTGTATAGTGTAGTGTGTAGTGTAGTGTATAGTGTAGTTGTGTATAGTGTAGTGTATAGTGGAGTGTGTATAGTGTAGTGTGTAGTGTAGTGTATAGTGTAGTAGTGTATAGTGTAGCGTATAGTAGTGGTGTATAGTGTAATAGTGTAGAGTGTAGTGTATAGTGTAGTGTATAGTGTAGTCTATGTTGTAGTGTATAGTGTAGTGTATAGTGTAGTGCAGTGTGTAGTGTATAGTGTAGTGCAGTGTGTAGTGTATAGTGTAGTCTATGTTGACATTCTTTCACATCGGACGTAGCTAACCGTGCGAGGGGGGTGGAAGATCAACAACAAGATAAACAACAACCTAAACAACAACAAACTAAACAGGAACAAACTGTTATACACTCAAATGAGAATAGCTCAAACAAGTGGCTTATCATCATCACCATCATCACCACCACCACGTGGGTATTTATAGCAGCCGTCAAATACTCGACAACACGTGGCGGTGGTGACGTCGCCGATTCAAAACGTGGAGGGGAAAACCCGTGTGGAAAAATCCACACGAACACGAAGAGCGAGAGAAACACCGCGAACTCCAAATCTACAGCAGCAGCAGCAGGCGTTGTCAGGGTCGGGATGGAACCCACGACCTCCTGCGTACCAGGACGAGGTAGTCAACATCTCATAGCCACCGTGATGATGATGGTGATGAGAGAAAGACACAGACTCCAAATCTACAGCAACAGCAGGCGTCAGGGTCGGGATCGAACCCACGGCCTCCTGTACACCAGGCGAGGTAGTCAACATCTCCTAGCCACCGTGATGATGATGAGAGAGAGAGAGACGCAGACTCCAAATCTACAACAGCAGCAGGGGCTGTCAGGGTGGGGATCGAACCCACGACCTCCTGCGTACCAGGCGAGGTAGTCAACATTTCATAGCCACCGTGATGATGATGATGAGAGAGAGACGCAGACTCCAAATCTACAGCAGCAGCAGGCGTCGTCAGGGTGGGGATCGAACCCACGACCTCCTGTAGTACCAGGCGAGGTAGTCAACATCTCATAGCCACCGTGATGATGATGATGAGAGAGAGAGACAGACAGACTCCAAATCTACAGCAGCAGGCATCAGGGTCGGGATCGAACCCACGACCTCCTGTATACCAGGCGAGGTAGTCAACCTATCCTAGCCACCGTAATGATGATGAGAGAGACAGAGACGCAGACTCCAAATCTACAGCAGCAGCAGGCGTTGTCAGGGTGGGGACCGAACCCACGGCCTCCTGTAGACCAGGCGAGGTAGTCAACATCTCCTAGCCACCGTGATAATGATGATGATGAGAGAGAGATACAGACTCCACATAGACCTCCTGTAGACCAAGCGAGGTAGTCAACATCTCCTAGCCACCGTGATGATGATGAGAGAGAGAGACGCAGACTCCAAATATACAGCAGCAGGCGTCAGGGTCGGGATCGAACCCACGACCTCCTGTAGACCAGGCGAGGTAGTCAACATCTCCTAGCCACCGTGATGATGATGATGATGATGAGAGAGAGATAGACGCAGACTCCAAATCTACAGCAGCAGCAGGCGCTGTCAGGGTGGGGATCGAACCCACGACCTCCTGCGTACCAGGCGAGGTAGTCAACATCTCATAGCCACCGTGATGATGATGAGAGAGAGAGACACACAGACTCCAAATCTACAGCAGCAGGCATCAGGGTCGGGATCGAACCCACGACCTCCTGTAGACCAGGCGAGGTAGTCAACCTATCCTAGCCACCGTAATGATGATGAGAGAGACAGAGACGCAGACTCCAAATCTACAGCAGCAGCAGGCGTTGTCAGGGTGGGGATCGAACCCACGACCTCCTG